TCCATTCAAATGCCCTGCCTCGGTATTTTAGGGCTCCCCCTTGTTATGGGAAGAGTCTCCCGGAAGCCCAGGGAGGGTGAGCCTCCCTCTCCACACACACCGTTTGTCGGCCTTGCTGCACGCAGCTTTTCTCCTCGCTCTGGCCTCGCCTCCGAGCTCCAAGAGGCCCCGTCTTGTGGGGCGTGGGCACCCGCAAGGGGTGTGTGCCCGCTTCTCAATGGCCTCTCATGCCCATGCAGGGCTTCTTGAAAATTAAGCCTCCCCCACCCTGCAACAGAACCAAGACAGCCAGGCGAGCCAGGGCGATCATCAGGGGCCCAGTCCTCAAATCCCTGTGCTCCCTCGTGTCTGCTCTCCCCGCTTTTACCAACGCCCATGGCTTAATGGGGAGGCAACTGCCAGGAAAAAGCTGGGTCTCAGGTGATGTAGGAAAAGCTGGACGCCACCAGGAAATGGGGAATTCTCTCTCTCTTACTTTCCTTCTAGGTCTTTCCTCATCGGCCCTGAAAGAGCAGTTTTTTTCCTGATGAAAACAGTTTTCCGGATGGGCATCTGCTGAAGCTCGTTACGCATGAAGGGGAGGGTAACAGAATCCTTATTCACGGACGCACCCCACAAACAGCCCCCAGGACCAGGGTGGGGTGACGGGGGGCTGGAGTGGCGGATGGCGCTTCCCTTTAGAGAGCTGACAGGCAGGGCCGGATCTGTAATATCCAGCGCAGCGTCTTGTAACCACAGACTCCTCGACTGGAGGGACCCATCATCTCCCCCGTTCCCTCGCTGGTCAGGAGCGCCGGGGCGGGGCGCCCGGCTCTGTCGTCTCCAGCGTGGGCCCAGAGCCCCGCCTGGCTGTTGGGCTTGTGGTAGGAAATTGTGTTTGCGGGAAGGTCAACACGTGATGCCTGGTTTTGAGATGGAAATGAGAGCACAGCTTCTCCAGTCTGTCTGTTAGACCCCCCCACGCCCAGCCGCGCCCTGGCTCCCGAGGAGCTGAGGGAGCAGCCCCCGAATGCAGGGCGTTGCCTGCGGAGCTCTCGGGGTCACTGACCGTGGCCTGCGCAGAGGACAGGGCTACTGATGACTCTGATTATTGTCTCAAGGGACTTCTCCAGGGGGACCCGGGAGCTGGGGTGTTGGGGGGACTTGTTTGGGTCAGAAGGACTCAGGGACAAGCAGGCAGACTCCGGGCTCTGTGCAGATGAGCCGTGTTCAGGGGTGGGGTCCCCTTCTTGTCCCCCCACTTTTTTTTATAATTATTAACTATGGCCTCCCTTATTATTTAAACTATTTTTTATTAATGAAGTACATTATTTTACATCCTTATTACTATTTTAACAATATTAGGTGTGGTCATCATAGCTCTCTCACACCAAAGCACCCCCAGTTCTCTGCCACAAACCGCCGTGCTCCCTGTGAAATTACTGGAGCTTTGATACTTAGGGCAACTCTGGAAGGCAGATGGCAAAAGAGAACTCTCTAGAGGCAAATGGCTTTGAGGCAGTTTTGGTCTGGGAACTGCTTGAGCTTCCAAGAGGGGGTAACTTTGGAGTAGCCAAGAGGCCAGGGGCAGCCTGAGCACTGTGGAGCCCCGGGGCGGGGTAACACCCCTCCCTGCTCCGTAGGTGGCTGTCGGTCGATCGCTCGCTCACTCACTTAGTCATTCAACAAACACTCGCTTGTGACTTCTGCGCCAGGTACCTGCACGGAGCCATAGAGCTCCTTTCACAAGTTGAAGAGCGAGTCCTGGCCTAGACGGGTCTATTTCAGTCTCTTGGAACTGCTAGCAACTTTTGGCAAAGGAAATCATCCGATACTACAACTTCTTTCAACATTTGGTGGGAATTATCAGGGGGGCCATGCAAAGCACAGCAGAGACCGAGCGAGAGAAGCGACTTCCCGCCGAAGGGTGCGCCTCTCCGGCGTGTGAGCACACGGCTCCCTGCGGCGTCTGCGCTGCGCTGGTCTCCACACACAGGAGGCGAATCCAGCCGGGGGGCTCACGTATTAATGGTGACGGCGCTGCCTTTCCAGGCGCTCTTTCAGGCAGGACAGGTTTGCTCTAACGGGCTGCTGAGAAGAGCAGCTCCTGCCTCATGGTCTCTAGATGTGTCCTCTCGGCTGGAGAACAGGCCGGCAGGTCCAAGAGGCTTGTTCGGCCTGATCGGAGCGATGTGTCAGGATGTGTCCTGAACCTGATGTCTTCGGTCGGGAGAAGTCCCCAAACGGAGTCAGCGCCCAGTAAGCGCTCCCGGACAGGTCTCAGCCCAGGGAGGACAGCTGGACACCACACGTCTGTGGACCCAGCCCCGATGGCTACATCCGGCAATTCTGAGAATGATTCCCCCCGCACGTTTCATCACGCTCTAACGCCCTGGCCCTCCGCCTTCCCTCCCTGTAACCCCCACGCCCCCTGACAGCCCCACCTCTCGACCGACCGTGGCTCACTTTCCACAATGACAACAAATGACGTCGCTGACATTCGGACACGAGGAGGCTCTGGCTTCTTTCTAGTTTGTTCTCTGGCTCGCACTGTGATGGAAGCCAGATGTCAACATGTGAGCTGCCCCGTGCCAGGGCTGACATCCGAGAAACTGAGAGGCCTCCGGGCAACAGCCAGGAGCAGCATCCTCAGGGACCATCTGCCAGGGGCCCGGGAAATGCTGGCCAGCGGAGTCTGCCACTTGCGTCCCAGGTGACCCCGCAGCCCCGGCTGACCTTGGCCACAGCCTCAGGAGAAGTCTCGAGCCGCCTCCTGGGGCAGGATGAACATCCTCGAGCGTCTCCTGGGGAATATGCGTGCACATTTCTGCTGGAGACAGACCTGGGTGGAGTTACCCAGGGCCAGCTTGTGGCAGGCCTAGTGGGTGGTGCTGAGTAGTGTTCTAAAGGGGTTGCACCAATTTCTGCTCTTCCCAGCTGAGCCCAACCCAATTGATTCCCTCCCTCCCTCTGCTGCTTCTCCGTTCAGCCAGGACCAAGCCTGTCGTGGGGTTTCAGGGACACATTTTATTTGCAATAATACTAAGAAGCAGAATCTCAGTGGGGGAGGCGACCTTTTGGGTCTGTAACGATCCAATGTGTTAATTTTCCAAAGATGGTGCACTCAGCCGCTGGTCGTGTATTGTTATTTTCGGCGTGTCGACACTCACAAAACACAACGTTCCACATTCACTAGGGCACAGAGGTTGTCAGATTAGTTTTTTTTAAGGAGATAAGCAGGATTAAAGGGAATAATTGGTTGAAGTTGGAAGCTTTGTTATTACGTTTTTAATTTCCAGGCTATTTAGGTAACTCAGGTTTCAATTTCTCAGACAGTGGCTGGTGGAGAAGTTGCTGGAGTCTATTGCTTCTCATCAGTGAGAGATGTTCTACTGGTGATGCCCATTTTGTGGCTTTCTGTTGGTTGTCACGCTGCTGATTTAATTGGTCTTTGCATCATATGCACGATAGAGCTAATTGGGATATTGCTAAAGAACCTCGCGTTCCTTCTAATGACCAGCTTAAAGGGCAGATTCTTTGATGAGAGGCCTAGTTTTTGAATTCTTGACTATAAGCAGGACAAAAGAGTGATACTCCTGAGCTGACCTTGTGTCAGGGGCGAAAGCAATGTGCAAAAAGCACACTCAGCGGCCGCAGAGCAGCAGCACTTGGGCCTGGGCTGGCTGCTTTGGGTCCGGATGTACTCAGGGCGTGGGGATGCCTGGGAGAGAGTCATTGGATTGAGGTACAGGTGACATGAGCACGGAAGGTAGAACCACACACGCCATGGGGTGAGTGAACGGTAGATAGCCATGGAAGTCGGAGCGTAAAGGGGTCCCTAGGAGGGTCCCCCAAATCCATAGGAAAAGCTGCGGCTTGGACAGGAAGGCAAGCTCGGCGGAACTTGGGCTCACTCTCCACGGAGCAGGTGCAGAGCAGCAAGGGGGTCTGTGGTGCCGGGTGCGCGGCCAGAGCCGCCAGGTCCTGCCGGCCACCTGGGGACTCACCTGGACCCGCATTTTCTGTCCCCCTGTACCCAGACCCTCCCGGCTTCACGCTCACCTGTCCCAGTGGCCGCGAAGGCAGGGATTGGTGTAACGAACCGGATGAGAATTTCCCTTATTTTGCCCACACAGTCAGAGCTAAGTCAGGGCAGACCTAGGAGCAAAGCAAGGCCCCTGACTCTCCGGGGATGACAGAGGAGGTGCCGAGCTGACTGGTCCCTCCTCATACAACACCCGTGCGGGGGCTGCGGTCACGGGGGTGGGAGGCCCGGCATCGCTTTGAGGTTCCCTACGGCCGGCCGATTGAACTTTCACGAGAGTCCAGGGATACTGCAATCTCCAGAAGTTGGTTTTTGTTTTCATATTTGATTGTCTGTTTTTACATTATTGTTCTTTTTGTCCAGTGTGTGCTTTCACCTCTCCGGTGTCGCCCCTGTAAAATCCCCGCCACCGATCCCCCCGCGACGATCCCCGCAGGCCCTTGCGCTCGTCCCGCCCCGTTGTGGCCCCTCCCTCCCCTCCCCTGCAGAGTCTCCGATTTATAGTTGCCTGTTAATTTTGGTTTTTTATTTATTGTGATTTTTTCCTGATCCCTTAGGTGGCTCCCCGTATTCCTCCTATAGGGACACCATCTGATACTTCTCTCTCTCCTTCTGGTTTACCTCACCGAGCAGCCTCCCTTCAGCTCCGCCCAGCTGCCGCGAATGGGCCACGGTTGCCGAACTGGAAGTTTATGGATTTAGCTCAACTGCTATGAGCTTATCCGCTCTGACTGCTCATGGAAGTTGGCTTTTGAACCAAATCCATAAGCTTCCTCCTCGGGGACCGTGCTGAGTAAGGGCGAGGTGAGCAGCGAGGAGGCTGTGGCTACGAGAGCCGGTGTGACCTCTCGCGAGGGGAGAAGCGGTCACCCCCATGTCCAGGGAGGCCGCCCCCTGTGGGGCCCGTCGGTGCTCCAGCCCCCTCCTCAGCGAGGGGTGTGCCGTGTTGGAAGGAGAAGCGTTCGCGGCTGCGCAGAGGGACTGCGGTTGGATCCACTTTATTGCAAGCGTGGGTTACACTCCGTGACGAGGGAGATGCTACATTAAGCCAGTGCAGCAAAAATGCTCGCGTTAAAAAACCAGGATGTGGGGTGACAGAGGAGGTGACGGAGGCTTGGCGGACACCGGGGCGCAGGGGACACGGGCCTGAAAGGCCAAGCCCTGGGGTTCCTGCGTGGATGGCATGGGCAGCCGCAAAGGCTCGGCTGCTGGGCTGTGGCCAGGGCGCTCCTCTCCAGCCTGTGCCCTGGGCCTCTGCCCGCTGCTCAGAACCCGCTTTTTCTTGCTAAAAGCCTCAATCTAGTGCCCTGGATCACACCCCGGCACACCGGTGGGCAGTGCTGGCCGTGTGTCTGCCTGCACGTGGCATCAGTGGCACCGTCCGCTGGACAGTGCCCACGGCTGGTCCGCGGGGGGACCCCAGCCCCTGCAGCGCCCCGCGTTCAGCTGAGCACTGGGCCAAGTGCAGGACGAGGCAGACTTCGTGGCTGTCCACCCCTCGCCTGCCCCTCCTCTGACGTGGGGGCGACTCTGTCTCCGAAACGTGCCGGCCTGTTGCACGGGGGCTGGTTCCCGAGAAAGGGAAGCAGCCGCTGACCGAGGGGACGGATTCCTCTCTCCTTCCTTCCGCCTTGCTGGGCCTTGCTGCCGCCAGGCACGGCAGCTGGGAGGGTTAACACAGGCCAGTGGCTCCTGCCGGCCGGCACAGCACGGCACCTCCCAGGCCCACAGAACCACGTTGTAGCGCTGGCGGGAGCTGGCACCCGACACGGGTACCCCTGATTCCAGAGAGGGTGGGCTCTGGGGCCACGTCAGGGGCTTCCTGACCCGGAGCCAGTGGGGACCCGTGCGCCCGAGCCTGAGCTGGCCCTGCGGGGCCTCCTCCCGCAGCCGGTGTGTGTGGTGACTGGCGGCTCAGCTCGGGGGGGCGAGGGTGGGTGAGCACTTCCTGGGGACTAATGAGCAGTGGTCCCTGCAGCAGGGGGGCAGAGGGGGGCAGCCGCCAAGGTACTGGGAAAGAGCGGGTGAGGGGAGTGTGGCTGGGCCAGGGGCGGCGTCCAGCTTTGGGGCTCGTCCCGGGGTCTCTGCGCCGGGGGCATGAAGCAGGCCTGGCTCTGCGGGGGCCCAATGCTGGGCAGGTGGGCGGTCAGGCTCAGAGCTACGGGCGCCTCTGGATGTGCAGGTCCAGCTCCCCGTACACGTGCCTGAGCGAGTCGCTGTTCATGCTGGCCATCAGCTTGCGGGGCCCGGCCACCCAGGGCCGGGACACCTCCTCCCACTGCACCGTGGCCTGGGGCCGGATCTCGCTGCAGAGAGAGGGAGGGTTAGTATTCGGGGAGGCGGGTTCAGACCCCACCCTGACTGAGTTGGAGCTCCGTCGCCAGCCACACGCCCTTCTGCATGGGGTCCTGGGGGAGGCTGTGTCGGGACGGCCGTTGGGCCTGGTTCTGTCCACCTGGGGTATCGCTGGCTGCTGGGACATGGGGTCTGTCCAGCGTGTGGGGGGGGAGTTCTCTGGCCCCAGGAGCCCCTGCGCCCTGCCAGTGCAGCTTCGGTTCAGCCCGGCCCCACCCTCCCTCTGGGACCAGAATCCTGTGTGACTCGTCAGCTGCCTCTCAGGTCTGGATTCTCCAGGGCATCCCTCCAAGTCCCTGGGGCAGTTCCCAAGCCCTCGGTCGGCCGCCTGAGCGCCGCATGGCTCCTGACCCCTCTGTTCACCGCAGGCCCCAGCTTGTCTCCACGCTCCTCTGTGGCCGAGGCTTCTCCGCGTCCTGCTCGGGGCCGCCCTGTGGAGGCCTCGGCTCTGTCTCTGCAGCCTGTGCACTGAGGCCCAGCCCAGCCCGCTCTGGGCAGCCGAGGCGGTGGGTCAGGGCTCAGCCTCTAGGTGCCGCCCAGCCTCCCCCACCCCGGGCGAGTGTGGCCATGGGCAGGGACGCCAGGATGGCCCAGGGCAGCCCCGGAGCTGGACACCATTTGGCACATCTGAGTGCCAGAAGAAACGGACGCAGAGGTGCTGGACGCTGCGAGCGGCAGGTGGCTGTGTGCGGTGGGCACCGCCGTCACCGCGCCCTCCCAGCTCCTCTGTGGGGCCGCTGCCTGCCGGACCCTGCCGTAATCCCGGGGTGAGCGCTCTGCCTCTCTTCAGGGACACGGTTCTGTCCTCTGCCCCCAGCCACCAGCTCGGCAGGGCACAGGCCGCGACGGTCACTTCTCAGCTGAGCTGCCCTGCACACGTGCTTGTTCCTGGCCACCCGCCCTCGAGCAGAAACACCCCTGTCCGGGGGGCGTGCAGTGCTGGGACCTGCTCCACAGGGCGCCTGGAGCCCGCCTCTGTGTGACACGCGAGCTCCCCACTGCCCGCATCCGTGCCAGCCTGGCGCTGCGTGTGCGGGGCCCACGGGCCGAGGGGCTCACCGCCCACCAGGGTCAGCGCGGCAATCCCGGGATGTCCCTCTGCCTGGGGAGAGGCGCCGTGATAAATGAGCCCCAATAACATGCTGAGCCATCAGCAGCGGCGGCCGTTCATCATCTTGAATGCGCCCCGGCCAATGGGATTATTATCACAATAAACCCGGGCTCCGCGCTCTCCTCCGCGGAGCTGGCCGGCAGCTCCTGTCCTACTTGCGGAATTCAAATTTTCAACCCAAATCACCCAGTCTTTTCTCTTGAATAACTCACTGAACCTGATCATTTTTTGAAGAGAAAAACAAATCTGGAAGACGGATGGCTTGATCTTCTGGAAGCCTCCGGTGCGGGAGCGCGAGCTGAGCGTCGGGGCGGGGGCGGGGCGGGGGGCGGGGTGGGGTGGGCAGGCCAGGGGCCCGGGGAGACGGGGTGGGGGCGGGCTTGGACTCAGGTGCGAGTGAGACAGAGCCTTCCTCTTCCAAGCGCGACCCACCGTTGGGGCCCCGGCTTCCTGACTCTTCGGGGGTATATCTTGGGGTCACCCGTTAGCAGCGCCTGGCACGCGGGGCATCGGGGTGCTGGCGGGGCCCCAGCATGGGGGTGTCTGCGGCTCAGCCCTGGGGGCTGGCGTGTGCTGGAGAGGGGAGGCTGCGAGACACCGTGCTCTCTGCCAAGTCCCCGCTGCCGGCACAACAGATATTTCCACTGGTGGCGCCGCCGGTCCTCCCTTGCTTGAGGACCAGCTTCCTGTGCTTCGGGAGACTCCCCCAAGCCTGGGGCCCCAGCAGGGACCTCGGACCTGGCGTCTGGCGCTTCCCAGCCGTGGACAGAGCTGCTGGGAGGACGGGCCACGCCTGGGGGCGTGTGGCGGGAGGGCTGCTGCGTCCTGGGCCACGGCCTTGCAGACTTCCCGAGCCCTGGCCCCGTCCTCCCGGGACGGCGCCGGCCAATGGCCCCCGGCCCCAGCAGCGGTCACTGTGCTGGGCGAGGACCAGCGACCCTTCAACGTGCAGACGCTTCCCACTCGGTGGGGTCACGGTGAGCACGTGGCTCAGCCGCACAGAGGTATCGGGGTTCGGGCGCCGCCGCGGAAGCCTGTGGGGTGGCTGCGGAGCAGGAAACCCTGGCGACCGCAGGGCTGTTCTGCAGGAGAAACGTGCTTCACTTTCTCGAGCGGCGCCTGCATCTGATGCGCGTGGGAAGGTGTGAGAGCGGGCACGGGAGACCGGCGGCTGTGACGACAGCAGGGCCGCCACCCTGACCTCTCCGGGACCGCATCCCCCCTTTAATTCTCTCCTGCGACGAGCCTATTAGCGCAGGGAGCTTGTTGTGCTTCATGCATTCTTTTTAAAAGTGCTCAAAAGATTTTCTCTGTCGCTCGCAGCGCCCTCTGGCCCCCGGCAGCCCCAACCCGGTGAGCCGTGGGCACCGCAGTTTGAAAGGAAACGCAGAGAGACCTCTTAGTGGACGCAGGAGCCCTGAGCTTGTCCCACAGATGCCAGAGCTCCGGGTGGGGAGCTCCTGTCCTGCTGGCCTTGGAGGCTGCTGCGGGAGGCCCGCTGGCCGGCCAGGTGCCCACAGGGCTTATTTGTGGCAGAAGTGAAAGTAATGAACCCCAAAGACTGGGGTCCATTCTGGGCGCCCGATTTTAGGAGGCGCTCTGGCCACTGGAGCTGGTGGGGGAGGGAGCTGAAAGCCCCAGAGCGCTGGCCCTGGCCGGCCCCGGATGTGGGCTGAGCAGGAGCCCCAGGTGGAGAGGCTGCTGGGCCACGAGGCTCCTGGGGTCAGCCATGCGGCGGGGCTGGGAGGGCCTGGGCCACTGGCTTCACCCACCGGGTCTCTCCCAAGCTGCACGGTGCTGGCCGGGGCTGTGGGTCTCAGCAGGACCCCAGCCCGCTCCGCCTCGCTGGGGCTCAGGAGTGGACGCCAGTCCCGCGACCAGCCCCATGTGGCCCCACGCCCTTGAGCCGCCAGCAGGCGCTGCAGCTTCTCACTCGTGGCCGTGGGAAAGAAGGGGCGCGGGGCCCGCCTTACCGGAACAGCTTCCGCATGGGCTTGATCACCCCGGGGCCCTCCAGGTATATCCAGGCGTTCTGCAGGGTCTCCAACAAAGGGTTGGTGAACTGGACCGTCACGACCATGTCAGAGCCGACCACCTGGGCGCCCCGGACCTAGGCGCAGGGGAGACGGGCATCAGCAGAGAGGGCATCAGCAGAGAGGCCCTGGCCCCCGCCCCGTGCCCGGCCCTCGGCCTCCGCTCCGGCTGCGGCCGGACAGATGGTGATTTTATGGCCGTGGAGCCAGGGGTGACCTCAGAGGAGAAGATGAACATGACTAATTAGAGGCGTCCTTTTCCTCTCATTACAGAAACCACCCTAATTAGAGCTCAAGTTGGCCGCAGCGGCTGCCGGCTGCTCGCTCAGCGGTGAGGAGCTCTTGCTGAGGACAGATGTCCAGGGAGGCTGCGGGTGTGGGCTGGGGAGAGGCGGGGGCCTGCGCGGCCTGGGGTCCCGGCCTCGGGAGGCGGCGCCCGCACCCTGACTGTAGGCACCCTGGAAAGGACGGTGTCCACGGAGGGGCGTGCCGCTGGACTCGGCGCCGCTGTGGGGACAGGGACCTTCCACAGTGGGCCGCTGCGGTCAGGAGGGTGCACCCCGGGGCGGGCCCTGTTGGGGGTTTATCCAAACGACTCCCACGCCAGGCGGTGGCCGGTCGAGCGCTCAGTACTTGGGAGCGAGATGCTCAGGCCCGTCCCCGCTCGCTGGAGCAGCCCTGCCTGAGCCGCACGGAAGGCGCTGGCCGGGTGTGGGCCGGGAGCAGAGGGCCGGGCTCTGCGGAGCGGCTGGGCAGCCAGCCCCGGACTGCTGAGTCGGGCCAGCTGGACTGGCCGGCGGTTTGTGTTTCCCAGACAACCACCAGCCTGTCCCACGCCGACCTCGACGGCCGCAGAGCCCAGCAGCCCTCACGTGCAAACGGGGCTTCTATGGATGAAGGAAAGACCCGCCCTGCCCTGGCAGGAGGCTCTTCACCCACTCAGCAGCCAAGGACCAAAGCCTTGCTCTGCACGGCAGTTCTGCCGAGGGGTTTTAAAAATCCACAAGAAAAATGAAAATGAAGCAGTTCCCCAGGCGCGTGACTGCCGAGTCCCCACCTGGGGGTGGTGGGCGAGGGCAGGTGCAGAGGCCTGGGGGGAGCCGGTGACCACGGCTGTGGGGTCCGCCCTCCCGCAGGGGCGAGGACGCTTTGGCGGGCGCTGCAGTGGGTGTTTCCGGAGGGCGGGTCGCGCGTGTGTGACGAGCTGCGCGTGGGCTGAGGTGTCTGTTTCGCTAACTCCTTACGGAATCTGCACTGATTTCAGCGCTGTCAAAACAATCCCTTGTCAACACGGTTACACTGCGGATTCTCTCACTCTCTGGAAACCCTAAGCACGGGCGCCCGGGGCACCCAGGGAGGGCGCGCCAGCAGGTGGCTGGAGGCGAGCGAGGCCACCGCCGGGGCCGGAGGCTGAGTGCGTCCCGCCCGAGACGGCCGCTTAAAAAGCCCGACTGGACAGCTGCCCCGACGCAGGACGTGCTGTCTAAAATATCTGGTTTTCTTGAATGGACACGAACTCGCTGCTGTCCAAGTTCAGCCCCATCCGCCCGTGGTGCTGGAGACCGAGCCACCTCGTGACAAGGAGCGACGGTGCTGACCCTTTGGTGAACTAGAAAGTCACCATCACACGTACACGCGGGCGCACACACGCGCGTGCACACACGTGCACACCCACACACAAACGCCTAAGAAAGGGCTGCTCAGGAAGCACCGTGTGAGTCCACTGAGGGGAGCAAGCTCAGAAGGGGAACTCGGCCCGGCCGCACCGCTGGCAGAGCCCACACAGAATCCAGGTCTTCCACTCGCAGAGCCGCGGCCGCCGGCAGAGCGGCAGAAATAGTAACCTTCCTCCTTTCATTTGCTGGAAATAGCTTCTTAATTCTGGAGTCCGCCGAGGGCCCACTGCAGCAGCTACCGCTCGTGAGCCGAGCCCCGTGCTCGGTCTTGACCCCGGACTAGATCTGAAAACCCCACAGCCCCCCTCCAGCCCCCCACTTCCTTCAGGCTCTCAGCGGGAGAGCAGATGCCTCCGCCAGAGCGAAGCCAGACAGGGGGCCCCGGGCCTCGGTCCAGCGGGTTATTGACAACAGGAGCTTCTGCTCAGGGCGCGGATGATGGTGTCGGTATAGAAAAGAGCCAGGGGCCCGGCCTGTGGGCTGGCCGCCTCTCCCTGCGAGGGGCTGCACCCCGAGTTCTTACTCTAGCTTTCCTGCTGACTGAGAATGGGGGCCCCCCAGAGGGGTTGACACCCATCTCCAGCCTGGGGCCGGCCAGCCCGGCCCCCTGCCATGTCTCCGGTGTAGCTGGACAGCGCCGTCTCCGCGGAGAGCAGGCCTCGCACCAGCCACGGGCAGACGCGTTCTAGCTCTGATTTTAATAAAATGCACTTTCCTCATCAAAATATTTTGATCGCAGGGAAGAGACATGTGCTCATTACCGGCTACCGCGGCTGTGCCCGAGGAAGGGCTCCCCCTGAAGTTCGCGCCTGTGCTGTGCAGGCGGTGGGGAGGGCCAGCGCGGAGGCCTGGGGGTGCGAGGGACGGACACACTCTCCGGGGCCAGTGGCCGCGAGCCTGGCCACTGGCCTCTCGCTGCTGCCCCAGCCGGGGCGCCCACGGGGGGACAGCGCTGGGAGGACTGGACACAGGAGAGGAAGGAAGGCGGGTCCGCTCTTGGGAGGGAGGAGCTGACACCGCCCCGTTCTGGAGCCTTCGCTCCAGAGCCACCGTCACACCCGAGCCGCAGCCAAACATCTCAGCAGCGGCCACAGGCGTCTGGCAGCGGCCAGGCCGAGTGAGGCCTCCGGGTGTGGGGGTGGGCCCAGGCGAGGCGCCGGGCACCAGGCCACTGCAGTCACGCTCCCCAGGGACCCCAGTCCCCTGCCTGCTCGCCCCTGCTGCAGGCCTGCACCCCCTCTGTCTGCCTCGCCCGCTAGGGGGGCCGCGGGGTGCCTAGGAGAGGGGCGCACTGCTGTCCGCCCTCTAGAAAGCGGCGGCTCTTCCTCTAGGGGCGCGACGTGTCTGTTTGGGGGAGCCCGCCCTAGGATGATGTAGGGGCGGGTCCTCCAGGCCACCACGGGGCCCCAGGCCCGAGGAGTGGGCGGCTCCAAGTCCCGACACACGCTGTGGCCCTGAGGCCGGGCTGGGGCCAGCCCCGGGCCCAGGCAAGCTCGGATCGCCCTTGGTCTTCTGTGTCCCTCCAGGAGAGGAGACACAGCCCCTCTGCCTCGCGGGATGGTGGGTGTCAATGCAGAAACAGGCCCAGACGGCTGGGGCTGGCGGACTGGCTGGGGCCAGGGCTGGGGCCGGCGGACCCCAGGAAGCTCAGAGACTGCACTGTTTGAGGAGGAAGCCCAGCCAGTGGGTCAGGAGAGCCTGGCACCCCCTGCCAGTGCCATTTAAGGCTCAGGGCACTGGATCCACCTGTCACGGGAGGGGACAGCCGCGTGCACCCCACTCCGGCCACCTCAAGGCTCCCTGGCCATTGGGAGGGCCTCTGAGCCCGATCTGGAGACGGGGCACAGCCTGGGCTGGCAGGGGTGGCTGAGCTGCAGAGGTGGGAGCTGGGGCCCGCCCGTGTCCACCCCCAGCCTCGCGCCAGGCCTGAGCACGTGGCGGAGATGCTGGTGGGGTCGGCGGGACGCTCAGAAGCGCCAGCCGCACGGCCAGGACGCGTACCCCGGGTGGGGGCAGGGACAGCCTCTCCGTGCTGGGCCCCACCTCCGGCCCCCCACAGCCAGAGCGAGGCGCCCTCAGCGGCCGCTCCTCTGGACGCCTGGTCCGGCCCGGCCGCGGGCGGCTGCCCAGGCCACCCTGACCCACTTTCCGCCGAGACGGGGGGCGGGCGCGTCGGCACCCACCGCACCCACCTCCTCCACAAGTGTTTATGCCACAGGTTATATTTATCTCCGCAGCCGCTTCTATATATTTCAATCTGGAGAGCAGAGACGTGTTCTCGGAGCGCCTATATTTAGGTGGTTTACTTCTTTCAAAGAACAGGAGGATCCTGGCTGTTTCCTTCCTTCCTGCTTGCCCCCGCCCCCCCCCAGCTTCACAGGGGCAGGAGCCGGCCAGAGAGGGGTGTGTCGAGCAGGACGCACACACACAGACACACACAGATATGTCTCCCTGCCGGGGAGGCCAGCACTGACCTTGAGGACGACCTTGGGGATGGTCAGCACGGTGGACTTCTGCTTGGCCAGCACGTCCCCGGTCTCCTGGACCCGCGCGGTGACGAAGAAGTGCAGCGACGCCTGCTCCAGCAGCTGCCCCATGTACTCGCCCGCCCGGACCAGCACCTCCTCCTTCTTGGCTGTGGGGAGATAGGCAGCGGGTCAGGGCCCAGCCTGGGCCTCCTCCCTGTCCGCACGCCCTGCCTGGCGGGTCGGGGCAGGTGGACGGAGCTCGCGGAACACCCGGCCACGCTTCCTCGACGGAGGGGTCGACACCCCAGCCGCGCGTTCCCCATCGCGGGGCAAGGCTGAGGCCAGGACGTCTGACGTCGGGGGCGAGGGCTTGGGCGGCTGCTGAGACACGGCCCATCGGTGTGGACCCAGCCTGGCCGCGCCCCTCTCCGCGCACCGTCTCCAGCTGCCGCGTCCCTGCCCCCTCCCTGGAGCGCCACGTCTGCCCCCCACTCTCCTGCGCCAGCTGACTCCACGCCTGCCGCGGTCGGGAGGAAGAGGCCGCGGAAGGCTGTTTGCGCAGGGTCAGCTTTCTCCCCACCGCGACTCCTGCAACACCACAGGCCGCGCAAACGCCTCCGGCCCCGGCCCTGGCCTCCGGGTCTTGGGGACCAGCCAGAGAGGGGCTGTGTCGAGGGCAGGGGGGGCTCCTGGCCCTCTCCTAAGGACGCAGAGTCCCTCTTGGGGCGCTGGCTGCAGGAGGGGGCTCCGTTCCTCGCCCAACGTGGGGCGCCCCTGGCCGGAGCGGGAGCCACAGCGGTGGCAGGCTGGGGCTCAGTCTCCGTCCCCACACATGGGGCTCCCAGTGCAAATGCCATAGAGCCCAGCGGCCACTTGCGTCCTTGCCTGCTGCCTCCTTCCCGTGGGAGGGCCCGGTCCTGGCTGATTCGACTCCCAGGGAGGTTGGGTGACCCCTGGGGGCACTTCTGTTGTCACGATGGGGGGTGGCTACTGGGGTCTGGTGGAGAGACCAAGGATGCAGCTGAGCATCCTACAAAGCACCGGTGGTCCCCACCAGCCCCCAGCCTGGGTGTCCTGTACTGAGGCTGCCAGGCTCTGCCCCAGCCCTGCCCCAGCCCTGCCCCGGCCCTGCCCCGGCCCAGCCCCGGCCCCGCCCCAGCTCTGCAGTCCCCAGGGTGGCTGACCCATCCCGGCGGCTACTAAGCTGCCAAGTGGTGGGCTTGATTCCTGGGATGGCCCTTTGGAGCTATGACCTTGCCCTGACCTTGGGGCCCCAACCCCACTCCTGCCCCCGCTGAATTCTGCCGTTTTGAATGACCCACTCATGCGGGCCCCACTCCCTCCAGGCCCCCAGCCATGAGCTGTAGACACACGGACTCTGTCCCTCCATGGTGCAACCTCAGAGAGCTCGCCAGCCTGTGCCCACTTGGCGGGTGGACAGAGGGTGTGGACAGAGGCGCATAGGTGTGGGCGACAGGCGGCAAGCGGCAGGCCTCAGTGAGCTGCCTCTGGCCTCAGCTGCCGCCAGAGTGATAATGAAAACAGACGCCCTCTCGCTGCTTCCAGACCTGGTCTCACCGCTGGGAGCTCGGTGCTGGGAGGTGGCCCTGCTGCTGCCCCCGGCTCTCCGGCCACCGGGCAGTGTGGGCACCGGGCTCGGTCCTGGGGGAGAAACGTCCTCCCCACCAGGGCGCTGAAGAACCAGGCTCCCGAGCCCTGGAGAACAGTTCTCCCGAAATAGCAGCTTACGTAAGTGCTGTGTTTTGCACCGCCAAAGAAATTGTTCTAGATAAAGTTTATTAAACGTGGCAAGAGAAAGGAGACGAGGTTTTCATTCCCTGAGTAGTGGGCCGGGGCGGCTGCCAGCATCGCTCACGGCGTCTGGAGAAGCCCAGGGAGACACGGCCGGGAGCTGCCTCATCTCTTTTCCGAAAAGCCAAGGAAGCTAAATATAGCCCGGCGGGACGATCGCCCCTTTGAAGGTACTGGAAGGTTGGAGCTACTGAAACCTCCGAGCTATCTAGCCCACACGCGCCTGTAATCACCGGGCTGGGCCGCAGGCCTCCTTGCTGCTTGGAAAACTTCTTTTTGCAGCCTCCCCTTCTGGGGTCGCCCCTCTCTGGCCTGCCCGGCCAAGGGCTGGAGCCCCGGGAGCCAACCGCGGTCAGCGCGGCAGAGTGGGAGATGCCAGGGTCGCCTCCTGCCCCCGGCGGGGGAGCAAGGATCATCTCCATGCCCATGGCCCATCGCGCTCTGCAGGACCCGCCTGAGTGGGGTTGGGCAGGTCAGCCGTCTCGGAGGAGGCCGGGGCACGGCTGCACACACGCCACGCGGGCACAGCCCAGCCCTTTCCCTGGGCGAGGGGCGCGGGGAGGAGGCAGCCCAAGTGTCCCGTCTCCTTCCTGCCTCTGGCCAGAACCTTTGCTGGAAACGGCCTCCCTGCAGAGCCCGGCTCTCCTCGGTGGTGATGGAACAGTGGCCGGAAACCGTTGCAAAGTCCAGCCCGAGCCCCAAGGAGCAGCCCGGCCAGCTCACCGCCCGCCGCCGCCTCTGCCCACGCACCTCCCCCTGCTCCTTGCAGAGCCAGCAGGACCTGCCCAGCGGACACAGGCGACGTGGGTTCGGGCCGGCTGCCCAGGGGTCTGTTCTGGGGTGCACACACACGACCCCCGGGGGAGGCAAGCGGGGGTAACCGCAGGACGTCGGCCTCCCCAGCCCCAGAAACACGTGCTCAGCTCAGGCCCCAAAATGAGCGCTTGGTTCGTGAAGAGGGAGGAACGAATGGCACCTGTGTATTGGGACTCTGCCCCCCCCCAGATACCCCTGTGCCCTCCACGCCCCTTGGAGCCAGCCTCACGCTGACCAGTCGCTCAGGAGACTCTCCCTGTCGTAAAAACCACCGTCCGGCGTTTGAGCATGTGCGGCGGGCAGAGGCCACGCCGGGGCTGGTCACAGCACCTTCCTGCCCTGTGGCCCTCCAAGCCTTTCTTAAGGTGGCAGGGGGCACCGCGGGGGCGGCTGGGCCTGGCCTGCCCTCTGTCCCTGAGCCCAGGTCCTTGGCCTGCACGCTGGGTCGCAGCAAGTCAAGCTGCATTTCACGCTCATGCAGTTTAATTTGCTGCGATTTCCCGGGGGCTCTGGGCTTGGAGATCCCCGTGCTCACCTCTACGGGGGGCCGCGGGGAGGGTCGAGGCCTCTGTAGGGCCCTGGACTGTCCCTGCGGTGTGGCCGTGGCCCTGAGGCAGGGCAGCAGGGGGTGGGGCGGGGGAGGCGGGAGGGGCCGGGCAGCTTACAGGACAAGGGCTCCAGCGTCAGGTGGAAGGTCTCCTTCTTGAACTCCGCCTTGGAGACCCCGGTGTAGAAGATGACGCTGCCCGAGAGGTAGGCGGAGAGGTTGTACCGGGTGGTGCTTCTGTTCTGGAAGGTGATGGTGACCTTGAAGTCCTTTCCCAGCATGGCGTCCTCCACCTGGAAGTCCATGTCCACATTGGACTGCGGGGGGCCGGCACCTTCTGTCTTGAGGGGCTTCTTGGCCCCGTACATCAGGGCGGTCTCCAGGGCCAGCCGCTCCTCCTCCTGACCTGGGGAAGAGGCCGAGACAGCGTCAGGACAGCAGGCGCCACCCTGAGGAGGGTGCTGGGCCCCGCAGGGGGCCCGTTATTCCTGGGAGGCAACTTCTGCAGGAGCCGGGCCTGGGGGGTCCTGACCTGCCCAGTGGCCAGGCTGGCGGGCGGCTGAGCCAGCACCTCTGGAAAGGGCCTCGCGCGAGGGGCAGCCCTCCAGGGCCAGAGCGGCAGGGCCAGCAGCGAAGCTCTTTGGCCTTGGCCTGCTTCCTCCCCAAGCCCTGGCCTGGCCACATGCTAGGATTTGGGGGCCTCTACGCGGAGACTTGGTCAATAGCTGTGTCTCCAGTGTGAGTCTCCCGGGGCAGAGCTCCCTGGAGGTCTCCTGTCTTTCCGCTTGGGCCTGCCCTGACTCCTGGCCAGTGCCCCTGGATCTGCTCCCTGCCCCCACACCTGCCCCCACACCTGCCCCCACGTCCTGTGCACGTAGAACACGCGCTTCAGAACCACCTTCTCTCTGAACGAAATCCTCTCCTTTATGAACTAAATTGTGGGGACATCGCTTCTGACTCTGGTGAACTAACGTTTACTGTTAACCTGAGATGCGTCTCAGGATACATGATGCAGAAACAGCGATTTGTCCCCGGGGGACATCACAGTCGCGTACAGACCGGCCGGCCCTGGGTCCTTGAACCCGAAACCCGCGGTCGGGCGCTGCCATGCGGGGCGGGCCTGGATTCCTTCCCTGTGTCTGACCTATGCCAGGGCCACACGCAGCAGCGCCTGAGAAATCCCTGGGAGGTTCACAGCAGACCCTGAGGCAGACACACGGGCCACGCCCCAGCCTTCCCCGAGGCCCGGCAGACACCAGCCATCCGGCCCGGCCGGCCGCCACATCCCTCAGCCTCAGCGACCTTGGAACGCTTCACCTGCTGTCCCAAAACTCAGCATCCGAGAGGCACCCACCTGCCCTGACAACCTCCAGGCCTGAAGCTGTGGGCAGCTTCTACTCGGAGTTGGGCCTCCCGCCTTTCCCTGGTGGCTTTGGGCTTCCTCTTTGACCCTGGCTTGCTCTCCACTGGTGGCAGCGGCGCCCTGTTGCGGGCGTCAGACAGACAGGCGGCCCTGGGAGCCCCCCCCTGTCCTCTCCCCATCTGGCTAGACCCTGCTCGGGAGAGGAACCTGCCCAGCACCCCCGACCTGGCCCTGGCTGTGCCTCCTGAGACTTTGCTCCCGGTGAGCCTGTCACTATATTCCCGGGGCCCCCAAGTCCGCTTGGGGTCCTCTCCCCACGTGCAGCCTCTGTCCACGCTGGCCAGGACACCCGTCCAGGGCTGGGGGCCTGCCTGCTGCTCTTCTCTCCAGCCAGGTGGGGCGAGGTCCCGCGGTGCCCTGCCCCTTGTGGTGGGGATGTGCAGGGCCGCAGCGAGCGGCTGCTGGACGGACATGTGGCTGCCCTTGGCCCTGCTGTTTTTATCTGCGCGTTTCTTTTCTCCTCCCCAAGCCTTCTGCCTGTGACTCCTTACTCAGAGGCATCACTTGTTCCGCGGATTGTTTATGGGTTCTTTAAGCGCTTTTTTGGGAAGCTCCCCAAAGAGAGAGGCATCTTCCGTGTGTAATCAACAGAAGAAAAAAATGAGCCATTTCGGGAAAACAGCCCCAAATCGCTGGTTCAAGGACCATGTCCTGCTCTCTGACCCCGCACAGCAAATCCTCTCTTTATAGTGCAAATTGTTTGTGTAAACAAGAGCAGAGACTCTCTAGAGCAGTTAAAGCTGCCCTGCTCTCTTAGCACTTCAGAGGCTGACACACTGATGAATATTCAGGGATGCAAATCACGCCTCCCTTCTGTCCCTGCATTGTAGTAAGTGCCAGTGCCGCCAGCCGGGGCAGGTGGTTCATTTGTAAGGCGTCTGCACCCGCCTGGCAGGAGCCTCTAGCAGGTCTCCTGCCCCTGTCCACTGCCGACCTCGGGCAGCTCTGTCCCCCCACCCTGAGTTGGTCTTTGCAGGGTCTGAGCCCTGGCTGCAGTGGCCCACACCTCTCTGCCCCGCCAAGCTGATGGACAGTGTATAGGGATGTAGTTTGCACATTTCCAATCCAGTGTGACTAGTCGTTGAAACTGCTGGTGTTGAGATGATTCTGTGAGTCCCTGACGCTTCCTAACAGGGTCATCAACAATGGGGGTCCCTTCGTGCCTTTGTGAGCAAGAGAGTCCACGTTCTCTCAAGGCAGACGTGACCCTGAAGACTCCCCAGCCGGGGAGGGGGAGGGGAAGGGGACTTTGCTCAAAGCCAAGAAACCAGTGCCTGAAATGAAATGCACGATGATGCGTGGACTGTGGGTCAGGAGGGTGTGTGAGGACAGAGCGCACTGGGCAGAGACTCTGCCTTCGGGGCAACTTACCTTCTTGGAATTTGTAGGCACTGGTGATATCCATGATGCCATCTCCTCCAATCTGCTTGGTCACAATCAGCTTCCCAATGTGGGTGGTGTCAATGGCCTCTACCACCTGTGTGCCGTCCTTCTTGACCGTAATGTAGATGAGGTCACTGTTGACCTACAGACGGGAGAGGAGAGCACGCGTTAGCCGTCGTCCGTGGGCCCTGCCGCCAGAGCCTCCCTCAAGGTCCCGAGGTCACGGGGGCGACACGTTCCTTCCTACAGTCACATTGGGGTCACAGGGCTAACCCTGCTTTAGACTACTCTGCAGGCGGATCCACTTTAGATCACATCGGGCATTTGGTTTTACTGTTTTTCCGCCTTGACACTCGCCTAGGTATTTGCGACAGCCTCTTCTCTTCCTTCCCCACCACCATCCTCGATTCCCCTTTCTCCCTCCCTCTTAATTTCAGAAGACTCACTTCTTTGCTTAGCATCGGGTATTTTTCATAAGATTTTTGCTTTGTCGATTGTAAATCCAAATTTCTTCCCCAAATGGCCACATTGTTTTGGAAATACATTCGGTATTTTAAGTTAAGAATATTCGGGGCTGGGACTTTCAACCATTTCTTTCTCTCCTTTTTCTTTCTGATAAATTCTACCTCGTAAGAGCTGGAAGTGCCAAGCTTGTTGCTCGCTTTCTTGGGCCTCGTTGCAGTGGCCCTTAGTGCTCCCTTTATTTGCCTCCTCCACTTCCAACCCAGCTCCCCCTCACCCGCAGCCTCCTCCTCTGCCTCTGGGTGTGTGTGTGGAGAGGCCACAGCTGGGAGCATCTGGGCTGTGTGAGCAGCTGGGCTCACTTCAGGGTGGAGCAGCACACAGCCAGGCCAGTCAGTAAGCACTGAGGCCGTTCCCAGTATGCACGAGGCCGTTGCACTCACTCACCTCCGCAAAGACAAAGGGCGCGTCGAACTGGAAGCAGACATGGCCGTGCTTGATGGCCTGGACGGAGGCCGGGCCACACCGGTACATCCCTGCAGAGCATAAGGGGCATGGTCAGCTCACTGGTGGGCGGGGTGGTCACCGTGACTTGGCAGCTGCAGACACCATCGGGCACTCCACGGCCCGATGGGAGGGGACTCTGTGTGTCACCCAGGCCCCCGCAACCCAAAATTTGGAGCCATGAAAAGAAGTGCAGGTGTCATCCCTCCTCCACCCTCCATCCCCACACAGAGTCCACTGCGTGCACGAGCTCTTGCCCAACTTGACAGGGACCACTTCCCTGGTGCCCGAGAGGCTGGAGATGGGGAGGGGCTGTGTCCTTGGTTACCTTGGATTTTAGCTTTTGCCTTTGTACAGCAAGGACACAGGTCAAGTTTAGATGGAGAGGGCGGATATGACCCACACACCCAGACTCACGCCCAGCAGGTGCTAGGAAGCCAGGCTTATTTCTGAAAAATTCCTTGAATTTTAACCATCTGACTCTAGTTCAGAAGAGATTAGTGGCCCCCGGTCACCCTGGTGTCTCCTTGTGATGCGTGACGCAGAACCCCAGACAGTGCTACATCCAGCATCACACTGAGGCCTCCCGGGCCAGATAAGGAATGTCCAGCTGTGTCCAGAGACACGACTCAGCGTCGCCTGCCACGTTCGGGGACGTGAGTGTGACCGGGTGTCTCTGCCCCCGCCCCCAAGAGGAAAGGCCTTGTGTGTACTCTTAGAAAAGTCGGGAGGGGTCACAGCCCCATGTGCCATTTGGCCTGGTCTGCAAGTGCAGACAAGCACCCACGTGTTCCAGGTTCAAAAGAAGCCACGTGAGGCAGAGAGGTGTCAGTGTCTGGGACCACAGCCATTGTGGGGTGCCCGTGGTGATGGGCAGGTCCCTGTTCCCTGTCTGTGCGGCAGCAGGGCTGAGGCCGTTGGCAGCCAAAGGAGAAGTGCACACACAGCCTTTTTCTCGTCTTTAGAACCGCTTATCAGAGCCAGAGCGGGGGAATTATACGTTTAATCCGATGCTTCTTTTCCAGAAGTGGCAACAGAATCCGGGGAGGCCCTCCTGGTGACAGGATGTGAAGGCTGATGGGACATGGGCTCGTCCCCCCACCTGCGCCAAATGTGGGGCCCAGGGGAGCTGCCCACACAGCGAGAGTGACCAGAGAGGCAAAGGAGACAGGCAGTGACACAGGCTCCTGGGGAGTGGCCCCCAGGAGGGTGTTCCCCGGGGGGGCCGTCCCTAGGAGGGTGTCCCAGGAGGTGATCCCTGGGAGGGTGCTCCCCAGGAGGGTGCTGGGGGAGAGGTTGCGCTGTTACCGTCGCTGTTTTCCTGTGGGGTGCTGTCCACAGCCTGCCATCCTCCGAACCCCACAGGCAGGTCGGGCCTGGTCATCCACGCCTCGTTCCAGCAGTGGTAGTTCCTAGGAGACAGTGCCCAACGGTCAGCGCCGTCCCGGCCTAAGCTCCCCAAGGGGGCCGCTTGCAGTGGGCCTGACACCCACAGGTTCCTGCAGCGATGCTCTGACCCCTGATGCCAGCGGGGCAGCTCGTTCCCTGGCGCGGAGCTGGAGACACCACACGGCTGGACGTTGCTGCCCCCGGGACTGTCCATCAGGACCCCTGGACGCCGCCCAGCTAGTGCGCTCCTGGCTCCGACCCCCACTCCCTGCTGCCCAGCGCCGCCGACCTCCCCGCGCCACAGGGGCCTGGGAGAGTTCACTGAAACCAAAAATGCTTTTATCTCTGAGTTTCTTTCCCACAGTTTTGACTTCTAAGAAACCCTGTTCTTTTGCCACAGTTAAGCGATAAAATGCTGTGTTCCGCGTTGCTATAGAAACCATAACTCTGGGCTCTAATTGCATGTGATTTGGGGCCCATTTCCATGTGGGGTTCGACAGGAAGGCACGGAGCTGGGGCCCTGGCAGAGGTGGGCGGCCGGTGGGGTTGGCGCTTGGCAGAGCTTGGCACCCGACCTGGACACAGGAGCTGGCGTCAGCCGTGCCCGCAGTCGTGCTGTCACGTCCTTGGGGACAGCTGGGCCGCGGGGGGCGGGGCAGCCTGGGGAGCCCGTTAGCCCGTCCCCGCTGCAGAGCAGCCCAGGGTGGCGGCGACACCTTAATGACAATGGAGGGAGTCGCCGCGGCCTCCGCTGACAACACCGGTGACTTCCAGACCCAGCTGCCGTCCAGCCTGCCCCTGGCTCCCCTCAGTGCCCGCAGCTCACACACCTTCCCGTCCCCTCTGAGCTCAGCTTGCCCGGGCTGGCTCCCGGGGGCCCTGCACTGGGGTGACTCGGGCACGGGGGCAGATGGGGGAGCAACAAGGACCAGATCCAGGCCTCGTCCCGGACCCTCACCGTCCAGGCGAGTGACACACTGACCAGCGGGCAGCAGCACAGTTCAGCTGTCACTGGGAGGTCCACACAGGCCCTCTCTCGGGCCAGCTCAGCCACAGGTCGAGGCTGGGTCAGGCGGCGCCCGGCGTTCCCCTCGTAGAAGCTTGTTGCTCCTGGCCAGAGAGGCCTGGGCAGGTGGGCCTGCTGGGCTGGGCTGGGCTGACACCCCTCACCAGGTTGTCCCACCTACAAAGCGCTCTGGGTACGCCCTTCCTCAACCCCGGGACTGCGCCGTCTCACTCTCTCCTCGAACCTCCAGGTGCCGATGTCTTGGCTATTTATTAAGAAAACTCACAAGTTCTTGATCAGCAATAATTTTTAGAAAATTAGTGGATAATCACATAGGTCTTTTTCCTTCTCTTTCGTTGCTTCCCCCTTTGACTGTTCTGTTTTTGATTATCCCCTGGAAATACAGAGACCCAGAAGGAAACTAAGCGTGGCCCCCCAAAACCAAGAAAAAAATCAGACGGGAAGAAAGACCTCTGTGGGCGTGGGGTGGGCCCCCCACCGGGCTCAGCGCGGGACAGGGCCCGACGCCCCTTGCTGCTGCCTCTGGCCCAGAAGGCCAGGAACTGCTCCGCTGGAAAGCGAAGGCGCGGCTCGTGTGGAGGGTGTTGGTGGGATTCCGTGCGCTCAGGATTTCCGTGCAGCGCTTCTGAACGCGGCCTCTGGCTGTGATTGCTGAAGGGAGTTGACAAGCAGCAGCACAGTTCCGGCTCCGAAGCCGCGCCAGCCTCACCAGCCTGCTCCTCAGCGCGGCGCAGCCTTACCTCCGTCCCACCAGCCGCGGGGCTCCCGGCGGCTCCCGGGGCGGCGCAGCTGCCAGCGCACGGCTGGGGAACGGGCCCTCTGGGACGGGCTGCCCGCCTGCCCCTGGGCCACCTGCTGCCCCAGGGCCCGGTCGCTCGGGGGCTTGCCCTGCCCCTCCCAAATCACAAGCCCCTCGGTGGGCAGCAAGCGCGTGCCCGCTGCAGCGGTGCTCTCGGGGACCCGCCCTGGGGCTCTTAGCTGCGTGTCCCCAGTCACCCTGGCCGCCCAGGGCCAGCTGGGGCTCCTGGCCCTCCTGGCCCTAGCCCAGCCTGTCGGCTCTCTGTCCACGGGGCGCAGCTGCCTGTCAGGCCATGTCGAGCAAGGAGGAGCCGGTCAGTGGGGGCCAGAGCAGCCGGATGAGCCATGGGGGCGGGGGGCGAGAGGGCGGGGCTGGGGGGCAGGGGGCCCAGAGCAGGAGCTGTGGGAGGGAGGGCCGCAGGCAGGTCCACTGGCCTCTCCGTGTCTGCCCACGCCCTCCAGGGGCTGCAGGGAGGCTTACTGGTGCCCGTGGGTTCAGGAGGTGCGGCGTGTGGATCAAGGGCTGGGGGAGTGCCCTGGCAGGCCTGGAGCGTGAGGGGAGTGTGCATGAGTGTGTGTGAGCATGAGTGCATGGGAGTGTGCAGTGTGTGTGCGTGTGCATGTGTGTGCATGTGTGTGTGTAAGAGGCATGGCGTGCAGACGCCACCTAGTTCCCATTTAGGGGCTGCAGAGGCCGGCGGGCTGGGGTGACCTGTCTGCTCAGTGGTGCCCGTCCCTGCGGGGTGTGGGCTGTCCCCCAGGGCTCCGGCGCTGCCTGCACGCTGCTGGGTCTGCAGAGGCACCACCGGCCTGGCCCTCTCCGGCTTAGGCCACTGAGCTCATCCCCGTCAAATGAGCTGTGCTATTTTTATCCCCCCGGCACCTCGTGAGCAGCTCAGCAATTTCCTTCTCAAATGGGCATCTGTGGGGCCCGGACCCCCGCTCGGTGCTGCTGGGTGACCAGCCCTGAAATTCAGGGCGCGGAGGCTCAGCTCTCTGCTGATTTCCCTGGTGCCGCCCGGCTGGGACGATCACCTCGTTACTACGGACCCAAACTGCCCGTCAGCCCGGTCTCTCTCCGATGCGTTAGCACAATCACTCTCCGACCGCCAGACACTTGTGCCCACAGCAGCGGCCGTCCCCACCCAGAGAGGAGGCCCGACGAGGCCGCCTGGCCAGCGGGCACCGTTGTCCTACCCCGACGCTGGCGACGCCCGGGCGCAGACTCACCACACAGAGTCCTTGGTGAGCTTGGAGCTCACGCTGCCGTCCTCCTCCAGGAAGATGTCCATCTGCAGGTTGGCGTCGTTGTCGTGGGCCGAGAAGTAGTTGGTGATGACCCTGGCCGGGATCCCCAGGCATCTCAGAACTGCAGGAAGACACGCCGCGGCTCAGCACCCACCCCAGTTATCTTTTCTAAAGATTTGTTTATTTGCTTATGCACACGAGAGCTGGGGCGCAGGCCAGAGGTGTGGGGGTGAGAGGGTTCACCGGAGACAGAGTGGGGAGCAGAACAGGCAGACTGACTGAAATCCACTGCTGAGGGGAGCAGCGGGGAGACGAGAGGTCTGCTGTGCCTGTGGGTAGCTCCCTGGCCAGCCAGGGATAGAACTCGTGCTGCAGAGGCTGCAGTAGCTTCATAGTGCTGAGACTTAACCCCTGTGCCCCCAGGGAGGCCCCACATCACCCCAGTTTAATAAACACACGATGAAAACCCCTCTGGTAGGGACGGTCATCTTTGCCAGGATGGACCCCCTTCTGCCCATCCTGTCCCCAGATGCCCTGGCTGCAGCAGAACCTGGGGTCCAGCCCAGCGCCAGGGACTGGTGCGTGAAGCGGGGTCGCCATGCGGCTGACTGCAGATGGGGCCAGCTGAGGCCCACTGGCGTGGAACCCCAGGAACGGGGTCCAGGGGCTTAGCTGCTCACCACCCCGTCATCACAGGACTGTTCCCTCAGCTAATGGGACCACAGTCCTAGAAATAGGAAAACAAAATACAGTGCGGGCGAGTGAGGTCAGACCTTCCCAGAGCAGGACCTCAGTGGGTTTGCCCCGTGACACTCGCTGGAGGACGACACCCCAGATTCACGTTAATTGTCGGTAATGAATTACCCGCTGCCTCCGCTGCCAGATGTACCCATCGATTAGACGTGATCCGCACGCCCGCCCTCTCCCAGGACGCCAGGCATCAGGACTCATTGGAAATAATTCAGCTGACAATTTTAAGATTAATGACTCGGCTTGCCTTTCTGTGCCTCCCCCAGAATAGTTTAGCATTTTTAAGCGAAAGCTCTCCACCCCCTCAGCAGAGCGGCCTTGGGAGCCGGAGCTCGGCTCAGGTGGAGCCGCCGGCATCCCCGAGAGAGCGCTTGAGGTTGTCCCCGCCAAGCCCGGCCTCCCCCGGCCTCCTGACCACGGCCCCTCTGCCCGCCTCCTCGGCTCCCGGGAGCGCTGCCACCCCGGCCCGGGTCACAGCATGGCTGGAGTCCACAGGTCAGAATCCGGGCTGGGGAGGCGGCTTCCTGCTTCAGATTTATCTCCTGGCAGATTCAGTCCCACCCGGCTTCTGCCTCTTCTGCACTGTCCACGCCTGTTTCTGGACTGCCCTGAGGGCCCTGGACATGGGTGCAAGATGGTCACTGTTTTATCTAGTTGGGGGCCCAGAGGCACCTCCTGGGCCAAGACGTGACAGGCCAGGAGGCCCGGGAGGCGGGGCCTGTCTGGCCCCTGTGACCACTTCACTGTCCGGACACGCGCCGGCCGGGGGTCTCCAGACCGCTTGAAGTCACGCCCCGTCTCCTGCGGTAGGGGCAGCTCCAGCTAACGGTACTCAGGCTTTTACTGCCAAGTAAAAGAGTCTTGCGGCCTGATGCCGCCCAGAGACAAAACCCGGCGCACAGCTGGCGGCTTCTCCCCTCGGCGGCTGGCGGGCGCCCAGGCTTGCTGGTGGGCTGACCCAATGCAACCTCCAGGCCCCGTTCGGTTTTTCTAACTAAGGAAACGCCAACCAGGGGACACCGTCGTATGAAGGAGCCAACGCGAAGGACTCTGGCTCAAGCGCGGTGTTTTCTCCCAGGGTAAGAAGCGGCCTGTGGACGACGCCCCCGCAGGATGGAGGCCGGAGCAGAGGCCGCTGGACGAACTGCAGCAAGGCCTGGCAGAGACACTCGGGCGAAGGGAACAACCTCGTTCCCCCGTTCTCCTCCCCAGGCTGGATGCGGGGGACGAGCCGGGAGGGAAAAAGAGCAGCCAGAGACTGTTCATGCAGCCCCGATGCCTGCCTGCCTGGGGCAGCGAGGCGCGCTCGTGACCGGAGAAGGGGACACCCTTGTGCGCTCGGGCCACGCCCGGCGGCCCAGCCACGGCTTCCCCGGGGTGCCACGCAGAGCACGAGCTGCAAACTGCACCGCAACAAACGAATGGGACGTCCCCTTTCTTACTGTTTGCAAAGGGGCACATTTTTAACCTTTTCCAACGTGGAGGGTTTCTGCAAAGAAAAATGGCTTCTCCGCCCCGGCACCCTTCCCGCGGCCTCCGTCCCCCTGTGGGGGTGAATGATAGATAGCGCGGGAGACCTCCATCACTCTTTCTGCCACGACCCCGCGGGCCGGGGAAAGGCTGAGCCGACCTGGCCCAGAACAGCTTAATTATGCATCGTCGCTCCCAGAATAGCCACCCATAAATCCTCCGGGCTAACGGGCCGTGGTCTCGCGCCGGCTATAGATAACGTGCCTTGAAGTGGAATTTCCTGCCCATCAAAGCTGCCGGCAGCCGGCCACTTACACGTGTTGAAGACGCCGGCGAAGACCCAGCACTGGCCGTAGCGCACGGGGCGCTCCGAGCTGCGGTACTCCAGCAGGATGTCGGTGCTGCCCGTCCAGGCGGAGGGGGGCACGCCGTAGGCGTACACGTTGTCCCAGGACCCCACCAGGACGCCCTCGTCGTCCTTGGCGTTGATCTGCGGGAGAGCGGAGGGCAGAGGGAGAGCGGTCACTCACGGGGGGCCGGGGCTCCGTGGAGCCCACGTGGCGAGGACAGTCCTTCTGCCCAGCTCGGGTGGTGCAGGGGGCGAGGCTCAGTGGGACCTCGCTTACATGGCACGATCAAGAGTCAGTGCATTAAAGAGGGGGACGAATTCTAGCATCTTCTCTGTATTTTGGGGAGAAGACACACGAGCCTGGGATGGCAGGGAGAGGGATGTGGGGAGAGGAGCAGCCTCGTGGAGACCAAGTGGGGGTCTCGTCTTGGAAGGAGAGGCCAGAGGTGTGTCGGCAGAGGCGGTGCCTGTCCGGGTGGAGTCTGCTGACCTTGGTGAAGGCCGGCTCTAGCGGACAGAAGCGCTGATGCCCCAGACACCGTCAGAGTTAGCGGGAAATGAGGTTCCCGCGAGCGCCTCCCAGGGTCTGCTTAAAGGAGAGCTGTGCAGTCACGAGACACGAACGGGACACAGGAACGTGACTGTCACACTGAGGACAAGAGGGTGGTCGACAGAGGGAGGGTGGGAGAAATGGGGAGGGGCTAGTCTGAGAGCAGAGAGTGACACTGCACTTTGGGGGTGAACATGGCCTGGAGCATTTATCGAGCTGTCACCCCGAAGCTCCTAGAAGGTCTGTGGCCTGCAAAGCCTCAGTCCATCAACGGGAAAACAAGTTGCGTGAAAGAAGCACTTTCTTTGTGATTGTTTAAAGTGATTAGAGTTGCACAGTGTTGTTAAAAGACATTTCCATTCCCAGAAAATATCTGCATTCCCAGAACAGGGCGTCATTACCTGTGGGGGGTGGGTAAGCAGAGAACAGCAACCTCGAATATCAGGGAGGCCTTGCTACACACTCAGACAATGGCCCTAAGTTAGCAGGAGACTAGGAAGCAGAACTGAGCCCTTCGGAGTTGAGATGATAAAACAAGGGCCAGGAAGCCACAGTTTTAAGGCACCCCGTCCATTCTGGGGGTCACTGTCTTGGTGGGGCTTTCACGGCATTAGGTACCGGTGGCAGGAAGCCGAGGTGGGCACCAGGGTGGCCGTTTCCAAAAGTGGCAATGGCTTAGGGTCTCTTCCAGGGCCTCCCCTGGGAACTCGTTAGAGATGCAGGATCCAGGCCCCCCCAAGACCCGCGGAACCCAGCCTGCGTTTTAACAAGCCCCCGGGGATCAGCGCGCACGGTCGTCTGAGGAGCACAGGCTCAGGCTGAGCTGGGGAAGACGTCAGCGAGCGCCGTGGAGCGTGGCTGCGGCAGGTGTGTCTGGATTATGAAAACCCTGAAAGAGATATTAAACTGGATGCATTTTTCTGTGCCCGCTGCCTTGCCCATGCGCAGCTCAGCTGCGGCACCCGCCCAGCGCCCCCCAAGCTTGCTGAGTTCAGTTGTGGAAGAATCTGTCTTTCGGCCTAGTTCACAAGTTCACTGGGGACAGAGATAAAAATCTATGTCTCTCCGACTCGGCGCCGGAGCGGGCGCTCGACAGCAGTTGACTAATCACTCCTGCATTCCGCAAGCAGATGGGTGTCACGCGTCTGAGTGAGACCGTCCCCCTGGGGAGCACAGACCAGAAACCAATCAGGAGGAAGTAAAGGTTATGGGGATGACAGAAAGATGACCGGGAAGATGAGGCCCCAGGCCGGGAGGGCGGTGGGGGTGGGATAGAGGCAGTGGCAGGAGAGCCGGGGCTGGAGGGGCTGCTGGCCAGCAAAGTCCATCGATGGAGTGGACAGTTCGACAATTGTGGCGTCACCGTGATAGAGCAAGCCCAGGGGACTGCTGGGGTCCTGCGGGGCATCACGTAATCGGCGCCATCGGATGGACTGGGAAGCTCCAGAAGAAAACGCTGAAGATGTGCCGGCCCATCTGCCGCGAGAGACGAGTCCCGCTCGTATGTGGGGTTCAGTCCCGCACCGGGTGGCTTTTCCCAGAGCGGGCCCTCCTGGGAGCCTTCTCTAGAGAATCCTCGCTCAGCTCAACCCACACGCACAGCTCCCGCTTTGGCTCTGCGAGTCAGTGTAAAGGGCAGGTAACCACCCAGTTCTGGTTCCAGGGAGGAAAACCTGACTCTGGAGATTCCTCAAGGACCTCGCTCGGCTGATGGCAAATTCAGACTTGGGGTGTGAACTCTGACTTCACCCTGCAACTCCACGAAATGGGGGCGGGGGTGATGGCAAGGCGTAGCCAGCCGTGTGGGCTCTATTCATAATCAATACTCCCCCTTGCATGTGCATTGATTACTTAAGCATCAGATCGATTATAACAAACCTGGAGAGTGTCTTGGGTGGCTGTGATGTGCTCTGGTGTCTGTGGAGAGGAACATTCAGCTTTCAACTGGCTTGCCCATGTCTGTGTCCCCATCGCGGAGAGGTAGACCCGGCCTGCGAATCTCAGAGGCAAAGGTTCCTAACGGTGGCTCTAATGACTGATTTCCAAGCAGAGAGCCATTAATTAGGAGGGCTATTTATAGCATGTGGTTGAACCCAATCAGCCAAGGAAAAAGGAAAGCACCCCTCACAGACCCTTTAATTGTCAAGGCTGAGCCGTTCCCCTGTTGTTAGATAAATCACAATTCTCATTTATTAGCATTCGGCCAGATCAGCTACTGTTTCCTAATTACAACATTGATTTCTGGGGAGTCCAGCAATAAAGACGGATACATCTGTCTCTGGGAACAGATGTAACGGGCTAAAGTAAAATGTCTCTCCCTAAAACACAAGATATCTGGGAGGCACTCAAGGACGTGCTGCTGTTTTTCATGGCACAATGGTTTCCACAACCTATTGTGAACCTGGAGTTTGACCAGAGGCAGAAGGAGATGTCTGGGCCTCGGGTAACTGGTGGCCACGTGGACGCATGACCCAAAGGACAGGAGCATTATTTAGCGCCGTTAAGATGGCACCAACATTGCACCTTCACAGTAGCTGCAAAATTGGAAAAATGAAAAACTGGTTCCCAAAAGTCACGCTCATCCATTTCAGAGGCACTAAATAACACCATAAGCTTCAAAACTTGGCCCAGAGAAAGATGCGGGTGATGGAGTGGGGCAGAGAAGCAACAGTGCAGCTCCCAACCCCATCCACCAGCTTTTCAGAGCCCCACTTGCAAGGCGAGAGCTCCTGAGAGTTCTCATTTGTATTCCAAATCTGGGAAGGGACAAGCTGAGCTGAGATGCTGATGTTTTTCTTGTTCTGCTTGGAATAGTGGAGATAATTCCATGATTTTTCTACATTTCTGGGGAGAGATGAGTGAAAAGGCCATCTGCATGGAGGTGGGGACCTGGGTGACAGGGAGAAATTATGCAGAGCCTGAGAGTGTCCCCAATGGAAATGAGATGTGGCTGCAGAGAGGATTTTGGAATGAGAAATGTAACAGGATCTGAAAGGAAAGAGCAGAATACGAGCATCCCAGGATCTCAAAGCCCGTCCATCTCTTCAGCTAGACTCCCCTCTCCATCCAGTCTTGGTACTCAGAGGACTAAAGAGCAAATACGAGGCCATCGTCTCACACTGGGGTTCAAAGGAGAAATCTAATTTATCTTCGGTTGGGAAGCCATGATTTCATCTACACCCTATGAAGGCAAATAGAACACTTGGGGAAGAGCTTTGCAAGCGTGAGCATGAATGAAAAGGGAAGAAGTCGTGAGGGCACAGGGGTGAGAGAGTGAAAAAGTCATCCACAGAAGAAAACAGAATTAAGGAACATAAAGAATGTTCTAACAATAGTTGGGGAGACTACAGACTTCCCGGAACAAATGAGGGCCAACTCACATCATCACAGAACTCAAAATAATTCGTTAACTATAACAAACAGAATAGGTGTGACTAAAAATAAAATTAATGGCATGGAAGTAAAGCTTGAGATACTGACAAAAAAAGACAGATCAAGTTATTTAGAGAGAAGCAGATTGTTATGGATGACAAGGATGATACAACATAAGGATAATTAGTATCCTTAAAATAGAGAACCCACAAATGAAGGGGAAGATGTATTCACGGCATCATCTAGGAATAATTTACCTAACTGAGGAAAAATTGTATCTATACATTGAGAGACTTCCCTGTGCTCCAGAGTAATTGGATGCAGAATCCTTGAGACCCAGGAACTTTAACGAAGCAATTTTAACGAAAGGATAAAGAAGTTACTGTTCAGTCATGCAGACAGAAAATGCAAATGAGCATCAAGGGAGGAACCTGAGCTGTCTTCAGACTTCTGCACGGCACCGTTCAATGACAAACATCGTCAATCAATATTTACTCAGACCTGAGAGAGAGAAAGGCGGACCCAAGAATAATGCTTGAGATCTGCAAGTAAAAAGCAACTTGTGCACATTTTTGAACATGAAGGACCTCAGGAATCTCGCTCCCACCCCAAGGGTTTGAACACCTTTGGGAATGATTGTCACAGAGTGAATATAAAGTTAAAAGCTTGTTAACTTAATAGCAATCGTCGTCCTAAGAAAAAATCCAGGAGGGAGGAAAGAGAGGAGAAAGTCCCAAAGTTTTAAGGCCTTGATTTCTCTTGGTTAATTGACACCCTATAAAATTAAAACATAATCTAAAAACATAAAGGTACTTTACCTTTCTATGGTTTTCACACTTTTAAAAGAATCTTGGGGGAATCTATTAGGAAATAATTCTTGTGAAGAAACATTTATTTGGAGTTTAACCGTTTCTTCTGTTGCAATTCAGTTGTTACGTTTGTTAGAGTAAAACTTAAAAAAGTTTACCAAGTAAACTTTAATAAATTCTTAGAGAAGTGATTAAATAAAGCTTAATAAATAAAACTTAAAATTGAATAGAATTTGAGTATGTTTAAATGAAATGTTTTTAAATGAAAAGCAAGCCACTATTTACAAACAAATATAAATGATTGATGAAACACAATAGAGAAATAGAACTATCTATGATATTTATGATTTTTGAAACTTTTTTATTTTAATATTTTTTAAAGTTTTTAATGAAGTATCATTGTTTTACAT